TCACAATAGAATTGTCCCTAAAATTGTTGAACAACATTTAGGAATATTCACACAAAGAATAAATATGAATCTAAAATGTTTAGTGAAATAAGGATAAGTTTTTATTCTTTTTATCCTAAAAGTTTGTATCTTTTAGTTTTTTAACTTTAGACAGTTTTTTTTTACCAATGGTAAACTAAACAAGTTAAAATGCTCAGTTATTGGAAGTGAAAAGCTATTTGTGTATTTTTATGTAACACATATATTAAATTATATGTTTAAACATTGTCAATAAAAGCTGAAAAGAAAGTTACTGTGGATTTGAGTTTTATAAAGTAAGTTTGGTTTAAATCACTGTGAAGATTGTGTGCAATAAAAGCATATTAAATTAAAAATATTAAAAAGGGAGAATATTTTAGAAAGACTGCCGTGTTGTTTTCAACGATGTGCTATTTAGTCATTTAACTTTTAAATTTAGTAATGAAACATACATGATGATGTATTTTAAATGTTTAAAAAAATGTATTGCTTAAACAAAACATTACATGACAAACTTTAAAGCCAGGGGAGATACAAAAATAACATACATCCTCCTGTTGTGTTTTTGTTTCGTTGACTAACCAACTCAGAGGGGGAAAAATAACCAACCAATCAGATTCATAATTTTGTGACACGTGACCAATCCCGCCTCTCCTGCACACCTGGTGGCGCTGAAGCACTAAATCCTGTACTAATGCGTTAGAAGAAGAATGGTAGTCAAGATGGACGCGGAGCTCTTGTTGTTTTTGGTTTCTGAGAACAAGGAATTATTTGATAAAAACCACAGCGAGTACAAAAATACGAAGCGGAAAGAAGTGCTCTGGCAAGGAATAGCAGACAAAATGGGAGTCGATGGTGAGTTGTATTTGTGTAGCTTGCAATGTTGCGTTACTGTGCGTTAACAAGCTTCATCTAAGGCTGTGTGTTTGTAACATTACAGTAGAAGAGGTGAAAGCTAAATGGAAAAATCTAAGAGACACATACACAAGAAAAAAGCGACTGGAGCAGGATGGTAGTCGGAGTGGACGGGCAGCGAAGAAAAAGAAGCAATGGAAATATATGCGAGTGATGGACTTTCTCGATCCCTCCACAGAACACAGAAGGTATTCGAGTGTATTTTGTATGAAGCCTGTCTTGCACCTACAGCTATACTATTATATCATTGTTTGTTTGAAAAGTTTCCCATTCATTCCACTAAATGTTCAGTATTCATAAATCCTCCTGACAGCGGTGACGTTATTGTAACATTGTGTACAGTTGTGCTATTGGCCCGTTCTTTCTTAAATTATTTATTTACTGGATCCTGATTGGTTCTTTCTTTCTTACTTCATTTACATAGCAAATTGTGTAGTCTTTCAGTACATTGGTGGTATTAAAGGGATAGTTCACCCAAAGGGAAAATAGTCTTTTATTCACCCTCATGTCATTCCAAACCAACCGTAAATGAAATCTGAGAGATTACTGTCCCTCCATTGATAGCTACACAACTTCTCTGACGCCTCAAAAAGTTAATTAAATGGATAGTTCACCCAAAAATGAAAATTCTGTCAGTTTTTACTCACACTCATGTTGTTCCAACCCCGTAATACCTTCATTCATCTTCGGAAAACAAATTAAGATATTTTTGATGAAATCTGAGAGCTGGATCACTCCTCCATAGGCTTCTTAAGGGATTGAAACTTGTTTTCCGAGAAAAGTTATTAAATACATCGTAAAACGAATCCATATGAATTTAGCCGATTAGTCCCTATTTTCTGAAAAGACATGATCGCTTTATATGATGAACAGATTTAATTAAGGCTTTTATTCACATATAAATATTCATCAACTCTCACATCAATTGTGTTAAACAGAAGCTCAGCATGTACGCTTGACGTGCGAGAAATGAGGTTCATTCTCGTGTTGCGCAGCACCTTTCAGCTTCCGCATGAACCAATGAGGTTTGTTCTCTGTTTATGTTCGCTGGTCAATGTTTACAGTAGCCTATGTGATTAAAAACCTAAATTCAATCTGTTCATCAAATAAAAATGCAAACCATGTCTCTTTAGAAGATTTGGACCAAACCACTCCATTCATCATATGGATTAGTTTTACGATCTCTCTATGAACTGTTTGATGTGTCAAAGTGGTAGTTGTGTAGCTGGTTATGGAGGGACAGAAAGCTCTCAGATTTCATCAGAAATATCTTCATTTGTGTTGTAAAGATGAACGAAAGTCTTACAGGTTTGGAACGGCATGAGGGTGTGTAAAATGATGAATTCTCAGTTTCGGGTGAACTAACTCTTTAAGCTATGTTCAGAATAGCGGATAATCATACTACTCATAATATTTCTGCTGTGTATAGTACACTTTTTATAGTTAAGTGTTTTCTAAATGCAGAGCAGACTGCAATACAGTACATGGAACCTCCTATTTCCAGTGTGACTAATGTATTCTGTATGTATAACTGTATGTATTTATTGTACTGGCAAGAATTTTCATTTTCGTATAAAATTGAAAAATATTAAACTTAATAAATGAAATGCATTTTAATTTGAAGATGATAATTGGATGCTGCTTACAGAATTAAACACATTTTACAGTACATAAAAGATTAGTACACTATTATAGCTAGACTTGTTCACATATAACTATAGAGTTCTAATTCTACTGTATGAGTATAGAATAGTTGAAATATTGTTTTTTTTTTTTCTTAAATGATTTACACTGGTTCTTTCTTGTCATCTTTCACCACCTTAAAGACTCATGCATAGGCTATTTATTTACCAGATATTTTTATTATTATAAAAAATATCATGTTACCAAACTGCTCATACTATTTCAGCAGTATAGTAGTAGGCACACTTTATATAGGCTAGTAAGGGAATTTTCTGAATACTGCATCCATTAATTCAATGCACACCGACTTGTCACAAATGTATCTTTTTATTAGATTGAACTGGCTTGAATTCAGATATTTTATTCTAAATTTAATTACATTTTTGTAAATAAAATAGAACAGACTGATGATGGTGGCATTAGCTAGCTTTGTGGTTATCTCAGACTGATCTCATGAAGTAGCGTGTGTATGACACGCCAATTCGTATTTCCATTTTTGCCGTGCTATCAAGACGCATAATCGCCTTTCAGCGTGTTTATGAACGCCGTTGACTTAACGTTATATAAATATATGACTTACCTCAACCCCGTCCCTAAACCTAACCGTCACTGGGGTTAATGGCATTTATGACTGGAGATTTGACGGCGTGTACAGACACGCGGAATGACGCGGACGTTAATGGTGTAGACATATACGCATACACGCGGATAGCTCAAAATGCGTAGAGATAACACGCCACCTGACTCGAAAGTGGCGTATATGTTTACGCAAAAGTCATGATGTCATCGAAAGTGGCGTATATGTTTACGCAAAAGTCATGATGTCATGTTGGTTATCTAGTCTCTGATGAGCCATAATTTAGCAAATGGATTACATCATACTGCAAATTATAAAACATACATTTTCAATATAACAGGCCAAGGAGAGATGATGCGTCTCATTGCTATAACTGTCACGCGCTATTAAAGAAATACTTCAGTCACATTGTCAAAAGTTAAAAGGACAGTCAGTCAACTACACTGTAACAATGTAGCGGAACTATTACTGGCTAATTCCGCTTCACTCTCGGCTTATTTAACAGCAGCAAAACTGGACATGATAGTCACAAATTTTGTCATGCTTATTTGAGTTAAGAGAACTGATGAGGATGTTCTTTTAATTGTTATTCAAGCAACGTATGTCTCGTGACCAACTCAACGAGTGTTGCCAACAGGGACTGTGTAGAGTGCCCTCTGGTGGACAAACTATACAACTCCAACACTCATGACATGGTTCAAGTGTGTTTAGTCCGTTTTTTATTTTATTTTTGAAATATTGCTTTATTGGCCATTATAACTGCCGATACCGATAGTTTGGGAAATGCCTAATATCGGCCTGGCTCTAGAAATGTTTATTTTAGGGTTTACATGGCAACAATGTACTAAAAACGGAAAGGTTTTCCGTGTACATAACGATAACGTTGTCAAAACGATCCCCATTCACACGTATCCGTCACTTTGTAAAGAAACTCTACTTGCCTACAGACTAAACTCTTAATATGCATGACGTCACCATTTGACGTGTTTTTGTCGTTTACACTGAGACCATAACGGTATTGTTTTTAAAAACGTAGAAACTAGTTTGCAAGTTTGCGTTTTTAGGTAGTCGTCATGTGAAACGAATAGCCAAAAAGCATAAAGTGTGTTGGGTAAATGGCCCCTTAACTAAATGTACATTTTAGCAGTGGGTTGTTTCATGCATCTGTTCTGTGTTGTAATGAAGCATCCAAAACCTCAAGGTTATTCACAGTGGTTTCTACTGGTGTACAGTGTTATTTTGGACAGCATTCCTGGCAAAATCGAGGATGACGAGCCAGATGAAGACAGCGGGGCCGAACCAGCCAGCACCAGTACGGGAACGTCCATGACAAGCCCAGGAGCTATCCGGTCTGGCATTGTAAAGAGAAGGCGATCAGAGACACTAGAGCTGTTGGAGAGGTATTTGGCCTCTAAAGACTCGAGAGACCAAGAGAAAGACGAACAGCAGCAGGATGAGGTCGATTTATTTCTTCGGAGCTTAGCGCCCGCCTTAAGACGCTTACCTGCTTCGAAGCAGTCCTTGGTGAAGCTTCAGATCCAAAAAATACTTCATGACGCAGAGTTTGGACAGCCGAGCTTTCCTCAGATTTCCTCAGTATCGCCGAGTAATCAGTTGTTACTACAGTGTAGTGTTGTAAAACCCAGTTGAAATACTTTTTTATTGAAAATAAATGTCACTTTAAAAGAGTGATTTCGTACTGGTTGTTTTGTATTTCCAACGTTGAGTGTTCCAGTCTTTATGGATTAAAAGGATAAGTATATAAATAGATTTGTCAAAACATAAAAACCCAAACCTTAGACTTTCATACTGATCAAAACAAGTTTATTACAATCTACTCGAACAATAATACATCCAACACTACAAAACCATGGAACGGGAAAACATATATACAAAACATGATATAGTAACACTTCTCATTTGTTTCACAAGCTGGTATGAGCATGAAAACACAGCAGATTCACACTAATCTAATGTACTGTAATAAATGGAAGAGAGTGTGTGTGTTAACTGTTATTATTCAGGCGTCTTATGGCTATCAAATGGTCAGTTATCCATTATAAAGTGTCCTTTTATTATGTACATTTCTAGATTAGATCACAAGATAAATGATAACATTTGGTAGAAATGGTTCAGTCGGGTAAAACTACTTTTTCTTGCCCTTCCTTCCTGCTGCTGGTTTCTTGCAATATTTCGCCTCCAGATCTGAGATGAGAGAGTTGAATCCACTTTCTTTGGACTTTTGTCTTTGCTAAATAGAAAACAATTGTAAGGATAATTTTTTTTTTATTCATGCTTCTTAACAGGCAAAAAAACCTTGATGTTGTGAGCCAATTTTGGTGAAAACTGGACAAACTATCTGGAATGAGTTACAAAAAGTGAAAAAAAAAATTGGTTAAAGGAGAACTCCGGCGAACAATGAACCTTTGGTCTAATAAAACATCGGTACATAGTCAACCGTTCTCTGAGATTTGTTTTCATGATAATCGAATGTAAAGAGTTTTATCTCTAAAAACTGTTTAGCGTATAATGCTAGTAATGGGGGCATATAATAAGTAAAAAGAAATCGCTAGTTTATACCACTAACAGGGCTCAAAATAGCCCCACACTAACGCAGTAACATAATGAGGGTCCATACATGCAAAACGAAGCATTGAGAACTTTATAAGTGGGCAGACCGTTTAATAAGAAGATACTTTATGAAGACAGTTCACTTCGCGAATACAGACAGGAGCCATCTTAACAAATAGTCTCGATAAGTCGATCCCCGAGAACCGTTCATACAGTTCAGAAGTTCGCTGAACTTCATAGAGTTCAGATCACTCAGCACGACGTTCGTGGTTCGACTCGTCGAGACTATTTTTTAAGATGGCTCCTGTCTGTATACGTGAAGTGAACTGTCTTCATAAAGTATCTTCTTATTAAACGGTCTGTACACTTACAAAGTTCTCAATGCTTCGTTTTGCATGTATGGACCCTCATTATGTTACTGCGTTAGTGTGGGGCTATTTGTGAGCCTTGTTAGTGGTATAAACTAGCGATTTCTTTTTACTTAGTCAATGCCCCCATTACTAGCATTATACGCTAAACAGTTTTTAGAGATAAAACTCTTTACATTCGATTATCATGAAAACAAATCTCAGAGAACGGTTGACTATGTACCGATGTTTTATTAGACCAAAGGTTCATTGTTCGCCGGAGTTCTCCTTTAAGTTCAAAGGTTATTAGCATTAACATAAGTGCAACTTTGGACAGCTGGTGGCACTGATGGAGGTTAAACACTCAAATTGCTCTGGTTATTATTCAGGCTGTCCTATCTGTGTGCCAAATTTCACAACTTTTTACGATACGGTTCTACTAACAGCCATTGGCTTGAGCGGAAGACGACTAACTGAGACAATAGGTGCCTATGCACCTTTGGTACTTGTCTCCTAAATATATTAAAATACAAAAACGGTAATTTTAAATAAACAATATTCCTGTTTTACGGCACGCTTGATTTAATAAATGCAGAGCGGAAGGGGAAACCGCTGAACAACACCAACGAAGAAGCGTCTACCGGAAGTGTTGACATAACCACGCGAGTCAAACATGAGTACCTTACGTCGAGGATCCAAAGTGTGGCTTCACTTTTCTAAAAATAACGAAATCTCAGCAAAATGCAACATTTGTGACAAAAGGAGTATTTTTACAGATGGAGTATTTCCTTCAGAAAGGCCGTTGGTTAGCAAGGTTAGCTAAACTTTTTTGACCCTGCCTCTTAAAAGAATCGGAATCGAGAATCGTTAGGAACCGGAATCGAAACAAGGAATCGGAATCAGAATCAGAATCGTTCAAATTCAAACGATACCCAACCCTAGTAACATCTGTCAAAAACAAACCCAAAAATGTTTAACTAGATAGTTTTGATATATATTCAGACATTTAGCAATTACAGCAGCTTCGGTTATGCCTAAATTGTTTTTTTACCTTTATCATAGCGACCAGGCTGTCCTCACTGTTCAAGCCCATCTCCTTCTGCATTTCCTCTGCCTCCTTGCGCTCCTTTTCTGCCTGAAAAGACAGTATAACACATTAAAGGGGCTTAAGTCCTGTTTCTTATCAAAACTTCAAAGCGTTCGAGTGAATCAGCACCTTTCTTTTGCGGTTGTTCTTCTTTTTGACACTCTCGTGAGTGAAGGCTTGGTAGGCCGGCACCTCTTCAGCATCAATGGCTTGCTGTAGTACATCTCGGACACGTGGCTCATCTTCGGAAGTACAGCACAAGGCGGACTCCATGACCAGATCCATGTCACCTTCATGCTGTAGGTACAGTCTCTTCAAGTCTGCTACCTCTTCATCCGAGCCTTTATACTGCTTCTCAAAGTCCAAGATCTCTTGCAATGTGATCTATGGCAGAAAAGTATGACAATGTTTTAGCAACTTCCTTTGGAAAAACCAACATATAAAACAAGCACATGATATACCTTGGGAAACAATCTCCTCCAGTGCTCCTCCCAATTGCGATCTTGATCAAGAGAGTCTGACTCTTCATCCACTATTCCCTGTTCGTCATAGACCGCCCTTTGGTCCTTGTCAGCCAACACTGCATAAACCTTTCCCAAGACCTGAGGAAATGATGAAAATATTATGTTAAAGGGTGTATTTATTAGATGAAATTTTAAATTTAACCTGGTGGTACTGTCACTTGACCAATTATTTTTTTTTTTTTACTTAATCAGAATAATATCAAACTTTGACTTTTATGCCACTTGCAAGTGAACAACAAATTTGACCTGTTTCAAAAAGAACAAATTGTCTAAAAATACTCCTGAAATAAAAACATTGACAGCCAATCAGAATCAATCCTGCTTTCAAACGGACAATAAAACTGCAGAGCACGCTCTGCAGTTTTATCACTGGTGTGGAGAGACATTATAGGGATTGTTCACTTTGAAATAAATTTTTGATATGTTTTATCTTACCTCAAGGGCATCCAAGATGTAGGTGTCTTTGTTTCCGCAGTATTTTCAATTTTGATATTTTTGAGTCAAACCGTTCTTGTCTATCAGTCATATAATGCAGGTATATGGTCACCACCTCAAAGAGCATGCACAGAGAAGTCTAAATTAAACATGATTTAATGACTCGTAAATATAAGTACACATTGATGGCCTAAGACACGAAACTAGCAGTTTGTGTGAGAAAATGAACAGTATTTATATTGTTTTTACCTCGTTATCACAGCTACAAAGCCCTCAGATCACTTGGACATGGCTGTGGTTACGAGAGGTAAAAACTATAGAAATACTATTCGTTTTCTCACACAACCCGCTCGTTTCGTGTCTTAGGCATCAATGTGTACTTACATTTACGAGTCATTAAATCATTTTTAATTTGGGCTTCTCTGTGCATGCTCTTTGAGGTGGTGACCATAGACCTCCATTATATAACTGACAAACAAGAACGGTTTGACCTAAAAATATCAAAATTGAAACTACTGCGGAAACCTCCATCTACATCCTGGATGCCCTTGAGGTAAGCTAAAACATACCAAAAATTAGTTTCAAAGTGAACAATCCCTTTAATGTGCATAGAATTTGAAAGTCGGCTCACGGAAGTTGCGATAGTCTTTTCTTGCCTTTTGATGTGTATATTTGAGTGAGTATTTGAGAAAAAAAATGTAGGGCAGAACTTGATTTTGTCCATAGGGAATTGATTGGATGGTTGTGGTTTGCTATTGGTCGATCTAACGTGACAGGTTGTCCAGCCCATGCCAGAAAACACGTCATCAGAGAAAAGATGGCATTTCAAGTGGGAGTGGAAGAAAATATAAACAAGTAGTGCAAAATTATTGAACAATTAATTTTTCCTAACATAAATGTTAACTACAAAACATTGAAACAAGGTTCTGAGAGATTATCGGTCAGTATTATAGCGTTGCATAGAGACACAGTGGTTACCTGAAACTTGGTGGTGGCTAACTCATCACCAGGAGCTCTATCTGGATGAACCTGCAGAGAGACTTTATAATAGCCTCGTCTGATCTCGGAGTCAGAAGCTTCTTTGCAAACACCCACAACTTCATACAGATTAGAGGTGTTGAAGAGCTCCTCACACTGCTCCAGCAAACCCATGACTGTGTGTGACACAAAACACACACCAAATCACCTTACAAAACAATCATTGTGGTGTGTGTTATTTTATTACGTTATCATAAGTCTCGTTATTTTTGCCCAGCATGCAAGACTTATTTTAGCGTGACACGTTATCACAAAACCCTAATGCTTGGAAGTTTTTAATAGTTTTGTAGACAATTGTCCAGAAATACATGGATTTAACAAACTCTCGTGTATCTACCTCATCTTACAAAAACAACAACGTTAGCTACGAGCAATTCAACGTTTTGTTAGCGATCTTACCGGAAACGTTGACAACTGACAGCGAAAATAAACTTGTTCAAATGTAGCAGATGAACAACTAAATGCTTTCAGAACACAGCAGCAGCATAGGCTTCCCCTCGCAGGAACAGGTCGCGCCAAAATTTAGGCGCGTTGTGTTTACGTCACAAAACGTCATGACGTAGGACATCGCTTATTTTAATTTAATGTTAAAAGTATACATGTACCAAACAGAGATATCTATTTTATTCTCTTGTCATACAAGTAATTTGAAATTATATCTAAACTATAATAATAAAAAAGATTATAACTTTTATTATGAATTCTATGACCCGGGTTGTAATTGTCGCACGCTGTTGTACTTCCGAGTCCCGCAGCCCAGTAAGCCCACTGTTTCCTAAAGTATGTTTACAATTGTTTGCTCACTTTAATGAGCTCTATATAGGCACAGGGCTACAGCGCGACTTCCAGGGCTGTGAGTTTTAGTGTCAGGCAGAATGTCTCGCTGTGTTGCGTTACAGACGCATCTGGCGTCAGTGGTGGAGGCGTTAGTTCACGCCGCGATCGCCGAAATGTACAAACTAATGGAAGAGGAGAGGCTGTCGTTTATCATTAGTGATATTACCAGCGATCAGTGTGAAGACGAGGAGACTGGGTCAAGAATGAAGAGGGGAAAGGAGGAGAGAATGGTGAGATTGCAAGATGATGTTGTTTAGAGATCTGCGGCCTGTAACCTTAAACATGCGACGCGTTTAAAGCCATATGAGCGCGTGTGTGCATATAGTATAAAGATCAGATCTCAACGCACGTGAGCGCAACAACATATCAAAGCTTTCTTTCTTGGGGGATAAAGTGTCTATTATAAATTATTTACCAATGGACATCATTATTTTTAAAACAAATTGTGAAAAGTATCTGAAAAGAATTCATGTGTAATCTTTAATGAAAATAGCAACGACATCTCATCTGCTCTCTGATGACGTGGTTACTGGCGGGAGGGCGGGGCAACCTGTCAACCTAGCAATGGGCTCTATGCACGGCGTTATTTCCGGTGAAGGATTAGGGATGCTCGATAACTTCCGCCGATCATAGAGTCCAATGCAATACCGAGAATTTATATTGAATTTTATACTCCATGGTTATACTAATGAAACGTTAGTCACAAAAACTGATAAAACAGACACCCCTCGTTGTGTTTATGCTTCTTTTTAAAATTATAATAAATAAACATAACTATATATAAAATTACATCTAAACGTATGTACGTTTCGTTTCAAAGACGGGAGGACAGTAAATATTGAAGACTCTGCCATAATCCCGTTTTCTCCGGTTTTACTCCGCTTTAATCTACACAACCGGAAATGGACGAGCATCCTTACGTCAAATGCGGAACTTATGCGTGCATATAGCCCATTACAAACCACAACGATTACAGTTTTACACCAGAGATCGTATTTTGACTGATATAGAATTCATTGCGATATCACACAATATTCCTTTTCTTAAATTTAAAAGATAGTTCATTAATGCTCAAGGTGACCATTATAATTAAACAGCTGACCAACTAATAATATATCAGACTTAAACCAATATGTATATAGGTTATATGTTATTGATTTATTTTTGTTATTAGGAAAATTGTATAATCATCATCAGACTAAATGGAGCAACAATAATCTCAATAATCTCAGTCTTTTCACTTGGATAACATACAATAGGGAAAAAAGACTATCGCAGTTATAATTTGTGATCAATAATAGTGAAGTAGTGAAGCTTGTTTCTGCCAAGGAGTAAAAAGGGAGTTGTTTTTCACCACAGAATAACAAAATAAAAAAGTTTTTTTTGAGACTTATCTCATAAAATGTTTTCTTCTCAGAATTGCGAGTTTATATCTCACAGTCTAGAAAAAGAAAAAAAAAACAGTTTGAGAAGTCGCAATATTTTTAATATATAATTAAAGGAGCCATATGCAAGATTGTGGCCAAAACTGGTACTGCAATCACTTTCAAATTACTGTATAGCGGTGACTCGAGGTTGCCAGATATGCTGCAGGATCCAGGAATACCGTAGGCTGCTACAAGAAGCTTCCAATGGCAAGTGACGAGTCCTACACAGTGTTTTTTTTTCTTTCTGTTAATTATTTATTCCGGACTTTATCACAAAGTATTTCGGATTCATATAAAGTTTTTTTTTTTGTTTCGCAACATTAGATTTTTTTTATCCAATTCCGACACGTTTGTATCTGCAGCTGTGGTAACTAGAGCAGAGCTGGCAACCCGGATGCTGCAACACTACTGACTCCGTGATTGGAAGATCGGCGGAGGGCGAAAATTTATGATTAATTGAAATACATTTCTTGCATACGGCTCCTTTAAATTAAACATATTTTTTTACTCTGTGGCAGAAACAAGCTTCCATACATTAATAGAGACAATGCAGTTTGATATTAGCAAATAATACATAAAAATTGTTTGAATTAAATAACTTGTTTTAGACAAAAACTAAAAATATTTTTTCAAAAATCAATTGACATGGCTGAAGATTTTGAAACTGACTAACCCTAATAGGGTAGATTTAACTGACAAAAAAATCTTTAGAAAATGGCCAAATTGTGCCTAATTAATCAGCTGGTATATATTGTTCTATCACTAGTAATTTGTCATTTATTCTTTCAGAAGCAGTTTGCATCAGTCATGGAAGTATTGGGCAACGAGGCTCTTGGGAAAATAATCAAACTTGTTGATGAAACCAAATTTCTGTTGGACCTGGAGTGTAAAACATTTTCAGGCAAGAGGGTAAAACGTCCCGGCAGTATCTTGAACATTCTGTCTGTTGGAGGACTTGGTAAGAAATCACATTCTGTCTTCATAGGCATGAAGTATTATTACTTTTCTGTGCAAGTGTGTTTTTGTTGTGTAATTTACGTCATTTGTACATTTTAGAAGAGGAACATTCTTATGATGGAAGTGCAAGAATCCTGGAGACAAGAACAAGAAATGAGGTAAATTGAACAACATCAACACTACCGGTCAAAAGTTTTAGATCAGTAAGATTTTTTATGTTTTTAAATGAAGTCTCTTCTGCTCACCAAGGCTGCTTTATTTGATGAAAAAAAAAATGACAAACAGTAATATTGTGAAATATTATGACAATTTAAAATGACTGTTTTCTATTTTAGTATATTTGAAAGCTGAATTTTCAACATCATTGCTGTTGCTGATTACACATCACTTTTCAGTGTCACATGATCCTTCAGAAATCATTCTAATATGCTGATTTTATGCTCAAAAAACATAAATTATTATTTTCAATGTTGAAAACAGTCGTGTACCATTTTTCCTCAAAAATTCTATGATGAATAGAAAGTTCAAAAGAACAGCATTTATTTAAAATATAATCTTTTCTAACATTATAAATGTCATTACTGTAACTTTTGATCAATTTAACTCATCCTTGATGAATAAAAGTGTTTTCTAATTTCACTCCCCCCAAAATAAAAACATAAATTCTTACTGAGCCCAAACTTTTTAATGGTAGTGATTAATGTTACAAAAGCTTTCCATTTCAGATCAATTCTGTTCTTTTGAACTTTCTATTCATCAAAGAATCCTGAAATAAAAATGTAAAAAACTGTTTTCAACATGGATTATAATCATAAATGTTTCTTGAGCATCATATTATAATAATTTCTGTAGGATCATGTGACACTGAAGACTGGAGTAATGATGCTGTAAATTCTGCTTTGATCACAGGAATGAATTACACTTCACTATATTCACATAGAAAACCGCTATTTTAAATTGTAATAATATTTCACAATATTACTGTTTTTTTTTGTTGTTGTATTTTTTATCAAATAATTGCAGCCTTGGTGAGCAGAAGAGACTTCTTTTAAAAACATAAAAAAATCTTACTGATCTAAGACTTTTGACCGGTAGTGTACATCAAGACTATTTACCAAAATGTAAAAATAAGGGCATGTGGGCGAGCCAGAATATTTTATCAACGGAAATCTATTATCAACAGAACACTGTTCTATAACATAGGTTTACTACATAATATTAATGTTCGTAGTTATTATTTTTTTATTAGTCCTATGAAACATTTCCACTCAGCAGAACATTCAAACAGAAATTGCATGTATGAAGCTGATGTTTAACAGGAAGAGTGAACTTAAACTGATGGCAGGTTTGCATTGCACACCTTCACTGTGCTTACAGACGTGTTGCATCATTAACACACCGGTATTGGGACACACTGTTGTTCCTGTCAGTCTGTTGTAGTTGAAACAGACATTTTAGTTGTCTCTATGTCATTTTTGGGGGAATTATTTGATGGCATAACAAAAGGTGCAAACCAAAAGGTGTGATTTTAAACAATACCTGACAGTTGAAATGCACTGAGCAATTCACCTCAGATCACAGTGTTACAGTCTTACTTAGCAGGCATTATTTATTTTAAACAATATATATATATATATATATATATATATATATATATATATATATATATATGTACTGTATATTTATTTATTTATTTTTTTAGATTGTTTTTAACAGTAATCAACCTCACATAAGGCAAAATTTCGAACAGGTCAGATTTAACCTATCCACAATTTGATTAGGCCTGATCTACATGCTCTTTATGTACACTTAACCCTCCGTAATGCATTAAAAAATGTACACCTTTTGTAATTCAGGGTCAGTTTTGACCTGGTGAAATGTGAGCATATAAATAATGTAATATATTTTTCACTAAAACCGTATTGTGTCTTCTCATTAATGTGTGAATATCTACGCTATCTCACGACCAATTCGTACGAGTGATTCAAAAGTGGCTAATTCGTACTAATTCATACGACCTCACTCGTACGAATTTTTACGATTTGTCTAAACCCACGTGACGGTTATGTTTAGGGGCGGGGTCAGGGGTAGGTCATTCGTACGAATTCATACGAATTGGCTAATTCGTAAAATATGTACGATTTAGCAAAATCGTACTAATTCGTACGAGTGAGGTCGTACGAATTGTTACGAATTAGCCACCTCGTAAAATTCGTACGAATTCCCGTGAGATCGGGTTGGTGAATATTAAAGTTTTGAATGCTTATGTGTTAATACTATGGGATTACTTTTAATGAATAAAAAAGTTAAGAAATTCTTTGAAATTTCAAATATTACAAGAACAAAAAATAATTCAATATTCATAACGATTTATATTTTAATTGATCATTATATGAGATTACAAAAACAATAATAACCTGTATTAACTCCATTGGAACAAATCAAAAACAGTCTTTTTTCTAACAAAACAACATACTTCAACATGAATATTACTCCAGAATGTTTTAATTTGATTTACTATAAATAACTTTCACTTTCCAATAAAAAGACAATCAACAGCCCGAATCTGCAGTGGATCATTGAAAGGTGGCAGCAGAGTTTTCATCTCTTTCTTTTTTTAAATTTAGACAATTTGGTCTTTGTATTTTTGCCCGTAGTTCATTAGATTAGCTTTAGCTTGGTTCATAGGAATAGTTCACCCAAAAATATAGGAAAAATTCTGTCATCATTTAGTAATCCTAATGAAAAATAAATGTGTTCAAAAAAGTGGTAGCCTACATTTGATTCACTGTGTTCTTTATGCACTATATTTGAACTTTTATCTGTAGGTAAAAAATAGCTTATAACTTATTCAACAATACTTTTTTCATAAAAGCATGTCTATAAGAGAAAAGTCACTGAATTGCTCTGCTATTTTATGATTCATTCTCGCAGTCTGATGAGGCCACAGAAGACCGTCCAGAATCCCCACTGACGTTGGCTGTGACGATCAGAAATGAATTTGGAAAAGTTGACTTGAAGTCCATCAGTAGTGGTACGTTAATAATGTTCATTAAAGGATTAGTTCACTTTTGAAAAAACTTTTGCTGATAATTTACTCACCCCCATGTCATCCAAGATGTCCATGTCTTTCTTTCCTCAGTCGAAAAGAAATTTAGGTTTTTGATGAAAACATTCCAGGATTTTTCTCCAAATAATGGACTTCAATGGGAACCGGATGGTTCAGGTCCAAAAGATAGTGTTAATAACAGTTTCAGATGCAGCTTCAAATGTCTTTAAACGACACCAGATGATAAATAAGGGTCTTATCATGCGAAACGATCGGTTATTTCAATGCTTATTCCAAAAATGTAACTTTTCTAAGGACAAATGCTAGCCTTTCTCCATTCTGTGAGGCGCGTTTGCAACGTCACGTAGTTCGTAATTACGTTCAAAAGGTCATGGGCGACGTAGCCAGAAGTACAGAGTCAGAGTGTTTACAAGTTGAACGCATAGGTTGAACGTGAAAACTAACTCAAACGCCGTTTACAAAAAAGGAATTAAAAGGAAAAAAAACGATGTCGGACGATTTTGATTCTGTACTTCCGGCTACGTCGCCCGTGACCTTTTGAACGTAATTACGTATTACGTGACGTTGCAAACGCGCCTCACAGAATAGAGCTAAGCTAGCATTTGTCCTTAGAAAAGTTACATTTTTGGAATAAGCTTTGAAATAACCGATCGTTTCGCATGATAAGACCCTTATTCATCGTCTGATATCGTTTAAAGACATTTGAAGCTGCATCTGAAACAGTTATTAACCGTCTTTTGGACCTTGAACCATCTGGTTCCCATTGAAGTCCATTATATGGAGAAAAATCCTGGAATGTTTTCATCAAAAACCTAAATTTCTTTTCGACTGAGGAAAGAAAGACATGGACATCTTGGATGACATGGGGGTGAGTAAATTATCAGCAAAAGCTTTTTCAAAAGTGAACTACTCCTTTAACAAACGAATGAGACAGTCTGTCTAATGAATCTAGAGAAGAACATGCTGAATCCATTACCTTCTTCTGACTGATCTGATATTTATATGGAAAGGCACCAAAAGATTTTTGTTGCTTTAATAAACAGATATTTAGCCAATGACAATGAATTTGATTGCTCTCCTGTCAGGTCACTTAAACACTTCTTCAGAAGACCGAGTCCTGCAAGAAGACGGCAGTGAAGATCCTCAAGACGCCGTCACTCTCTTCGGAAAGAGATCCTTCATTTGTTCCGAGTGCGGCAAGAGTTTCTCTTCTCAAAGCAACCTCAAATCACATCAGCGCATTCACACCGGAGAAAAGCCCTTCGGCTGCGTCCTCTGCGGCAAGGCTTTCGCCCACAAACAGAGTCTGTCCGACCACCATCGAGTCCACTCAGGAGAAAAGCCATTCGTTTGTAAAGTCTGCAGCAAATGCTTCGGGAAAGCCGCGCACCTCAAAACCCACGAAATAATCCACACGGGCGAAAAGCCGTTCGGCTGCAACGTTTGCGGGAAAAGGTTCAACATTGCTCAGAATCTCTCCAGGCACCAACTCACCCATACGGGCGAAAAGGATTTTCGGTGTACGATATGTCAGAAAAGCTTCACGCGGGCCATCACGCTGAAAACGCATCAGCTCATCCACACGGGTCAGAAACCGTACTCCTGCGTGTCTTGCGGGAAGGCGTTCCGCCACGCCGTCAACCTTAAAAACCACGAGCGTATCCACACGGACCAGCGGCCGTTCAGCTGCGACCTGTGTGGCAAGACCTTCCGCCAGGCCGTCAATCTGAAAATCCACAAACGGATCCACACGGGGGAAAAACCCTTCAGCTGCAAGGAGTGCGGGAAGAGCTTCAGTCAGCAGAGCAGCCTCATTTCACACGGACGCACTCACTCCGGAGAGAAACCCTTCGGCTGCAATTACTGCGACAAGTGGTTCAACAACACCAACAGTCTGAAGCTGCACCAGAGGGTCCACACCGGCGAGAAGCCGTACAATTGTGAGTATTGTGGCAAGAGTTTCAGTCAAGGCAGTCACCTGCGCACTCACAAACGCCACGTTCACGGTGGGGGGAAGCAGTACATCTGCGATAAATGCGGAAAGAGATACGCAGATCCTCGTAATCTTAAACTGCACAAATGCGTTTATGCTTAAACACACCGTGTGTAGGTCATTTTGAGCCCATTTTTCTTTGGTTTAGAAATTACTGAAGGAAAATAGCTGCAATCACATAGAATTTTTTCATTTTGAGTTTCATTTCCCGAATGATGAATAGAAATAGATGTGATGAGCATAATTTGAGTTAGGATTACTTAAAAGTTGGTTAAGAGTAATCCATCACAGGTGAAAATTTATTTTGAATTATGTATTTATTTCAAATTAATATTATATTTTGTACCTTTCTTTACACGCGGACACGTCGGAAAAGCTCTTTTTATAGCTCTTTAATATTTATTTTTGATGGAACACAAGACCGTGATCAGAACCAGAGAAAATATCTACAGTTCTGATCATCGACAACCCCTGATATTGACGTCTTGTGCAAAACATAATGTTAATTCTTTAATTTATAATTATTATTTTTGTGTAATTAATTATTATTTACAGCTACAGATGAGTGAGGTGTTCAAAACCTTAATACTATTTAAAGCATTAGTACTTTATTAGTTCACAAGTACGTTATTGCTGTTGTTGCCCTGTTGTCTGTCAAATCATTTATTTGATTCATGAAAATGTTGCCAAATACAGTTTTCAATAAACATTGTTATTGAAGATTTTGTGTGAGTGCCTTCATCTGCCTTTAATTAGAAATTATAATGCATTATGTTGGTGGGGATAGCAAAAACAGGAGAAATGAGTGTATTGGTGCGTAGTCTGCCAGTATCTTTGGTGTGGAAAATGCAGGGTTGCACAGATTTTAGATTTTGGGCTCATTTGGTGTCAATTAGCACATTAAAATGTTTATAAATATTTTAGGTCATGTTTGTGGGATGGTCTTTCCCCCCTGTGATCTAATATCTCTGAGAAAATAATGTTTTCAAAGATTATTTCAGACATTTTTTGGGGGGTTTAAAGGTTTGCCCTTTAAGAACATTGTTGTTGTATGAAGAAACAAAACTAGTTTTATCCTTCTGTAGTTGATATGGTAGCATTTTACATAACAATATCCTATATCCTGAGCATTTATTTTCTGTTTTAGGACACCGTTTTATGTACATACACTATTTTTAAATAACCATTTTGTCTTCAGTAGTTCATTTTAAATGCTCCTTCAGTTCGAAAAATTAATGTAAAAAAATACAGATATTCAGTGTTTTCTCTGTTCATTTGAGACCATAAAGACCGCAAGTATAATACTTATAAATGATTTATTATTATTATTATTTTTTCCAAGTTTTTTTAAATGAGCCTATCATATTAATAATTTTAGGTTCTCTCGACTTTTATAAAACTATTTGCATAGCAGTGTAACCAATCAGTTTGGAACGGTAGCTCGTGCATTTTATTTGTAAAATTCATTATTGTTTTTTTTCTTTTTCTTTTTTTCTGCAGAGCCACACAATCATTGTATTTACAATATATAAACAATCATGCTTTCAACTGTAACAACAAATCAATCTTATTTTAAATGAATGTAATAATTTTCGATTGGGATCATTCATTCATTAATTTGCCAGATAAATAATTCTGTGTAGTGTGCGAGAGAGAAAGTGAGACACATGCGCATGCGCGCTGATTTTGCACTTCCGGGTTTTTCTTTAAGTGAAATGTAACATTTCGCTTGTGATGTGTCTATGAAACTTGGTGTCCTGGCAGCGAATGAAAGGTGCTTATTTATAACTGAAGACAAAAGACACTGTGGCGGAGAATATTGTCATGCTTGGTCAATGAGCCTCTCACTAGACTCGCTGTAATGGCCTGATGTTGCACTGTTGTGCCTTATGACCGGACGGACTGACAGCAGCATGACGCGCCTGATGTTTCTAGCGGCCGCGGTGTTTCTCCTGTCCGCTCCTGCGAGCGCCTCTCAGGGGGACAAAGAGCCAGTCTACCGCGACTGCGTCAAACTATGTGTCCGGACGAACTGCACGGGGGCCCGACTGCGCGGATTCCAGTCCGCTCAACCTCCATACATGGCACTCACAGGTACTATACTAACCTATTCGTATTGGGGAACACTAGCCTACTAACCTATTTGAGTGTTCTGCAAACTGCAAATCTCAATAGTAAATATGTCATTTTATTTTCATAAATTAAATTAAGAATTTGTATACTAAATTATTCATGGACAGATTTTATTGAACAGTAGTTAATGTACATCATCTTGATATGAGAATCACGACAAAAACTTTCAAGGGGGTTTTGGGCACTTTAGTGGGGTTTTGTTATGCTGGAGACCAGTTAAACGAAACTAGCTGGCTGCTAGACCAGTTAAACTAGGAACAGTCAACAACTTTAGGCTGATTTAAGGCTGTTTTGTATACAAGTTTTAGTTTGTCCTTTTGAAAGAAGGGAAAGATGACCACACCACACACACCAACACACCTTTCTCTTGGTAATGCACATAAAAAAAGATTTAGTCAGCTGAAACTGAGGTTTACTGATCTAATTTGTATCTCTGGAAAATAGTGGTCTTTGACTTTCTATTAAATTGAATGACAATGTCTTTAGTGTCCAGTTTTTAATGAGGGATTCAGGTTTATTATCGCTAATTAAAACTGTTAAAACAATTTCTGTTTATTGGAGTATAATAAGATATAAATATTTAGCTAAACAAAATTGTGGAATGTTGTTTTGGCAATATACTGGAAGAAATTTAATCACTAAAATAATTAACTAAATTAACTAAATAAAGCTAAAACTGAAATAAAATAAATTAATTCTAAATAGCAATATTTAACAAAAAAAAAAATGCAAAAATCACATAATGAAATGACTAATAAAACTAAAATAACAACGAAGGGATTTGTGGACACATTCATCTTTTTATTTGTGGATTTAAAAAAAATATATTATTTTTTATTTTTAAGTGAAAAGATACAAATTGAGCCTTGGGGTTAGAAGAATTGGCACAGAAAGCCTTGAGCAGCACTTTTTTATTTAATTTTTTTCATTTCATACTACCTTAATTGTAATTCATCAGGGTTTCTATTCAGTTTGATGTGTATTTTATTTTAGACTTCTTTGCTATTAATTCAAATATATATAGGCTAATTGAGTAGAAATATTCAGTTTGAATTCATATCGTTGCTGTTAAGACATATCTTCATTTAAAATATAGGCAATTAAATATGTATAAATTTAATTTCTTCTCTTGTCTATCATCAGTTATTCGATAATTCAAATAAATTGTCAAAACACAATTTTAAAAATAGAAGGCAGAATTGTTTTTAACATTGATATAAGAAATGTTTCTTGAACATCAAATCCGGATATCAAAGTGATTTCTGAAGGATCATGAAGGATCAGACACTCACTGAACACTGGAGTAATGATGTTGAAAATTCAGCTTTGTCATCACAGTAATAAATGACATTTTAAAATGAATAACAGTTATTAAAATTCTAACAGATATTTTAAATTTAAATGTAATATTTCACAATATTACTGTATTTTTGATCTATAAATACAGCAATGGTGAGCATTAGAGAAATCATACCAACACCAAACACCGTTTCTCGTTTATATATTATAAAGTCATTAAAACTATGAAAACAAAGAAAGAAAAAATAAAACGGATAGTTCTGTCCCTTCAGAATGCGAATGACATAATCAAGTCAATATCCCTATGCTCTCAAAATACTGAAATGTTTGTATAAAGTACAGTCCTCAACATTTAAAGCGGATCAAAACCTTTCATCAAAGTTATGCATGCATTTTGAACAATACCCGTTTTTGTCTTAGGACAACTTTTTTTTTTTGCTTCTAATCAAAGTTTGCAGTGTTGTGATTTACCTCGTATCTGATTGGCTTGATTACTGGCTCATATTATAACTCTTTAACAATTTTAACATCCTATTTTAACATCCCTATGGGATAAATGAATTAAAATATTTCCAGAACCAGCGCTGCTGAAAAGGGGGAGGGCATTGTTGCTATATATAGCAGATGGTCCTCTGGAAAGATAATTGTGTATATAAAATGGGTCATTTATGTAAAATAAATGTGAAATTATTTTTGAATTTGGAGCTTTCTAGACTGAGAAAATCCAGAAAATGTATTTTTGGCTTATGTGGATGAAAGACAACAACTCCCAGAATGCACTTGGTTCGCTGCCCTAGAAGGCCACGCCTACCGGTAACAGAGCTCAGTAGTTAAACAACAAGTCTAGGCTACTAGTGAGTCTCTGTGATGAGTCTGCCTGAAAATGTGTTTCGAGATCGCCCAAAATGTCCGGGATTCGGCTGTTGATTTCTACAGTCGCCATTCATCATGTTTACTGTGGCGAGAGGGACGAGGGAGGGCCGCGGGAGAACAACTCAAGGCCGGTGGCGTCATTACCGATGAGTGACACCTGTGAGACGCACCGGTCTCGTATCTCTCACAGAGGAGCGGGAATTTTCTTAGCAATGTTAAAACGCACATCAACCGATCACTTGTTTAGCGCTCATGTTCAGACATTCAGATTCACCAATCAGAATGAATTCAGTTAGATTGAAACAAAAGCTGTGCATGTAAACAATGAATGGCGACCGCAGAAAGCAAAAGCTGACGGTTGGACATGTCCAGGAAAAAGAGGACGGTAACCCCTACTACTCGGCTTTCTCTACAGAACAAGAGCCTGCTAGCTTAGCTTCCAAATAAAGATGGCTGACACTATTGTGTTCATTCTGTGAGTGAGATCGCCCTCTATGGGCGGGTTGAGAACATGCGGGACAGCTCCTACTACTGACTGTAGTCTTTAGCCTCTGGCCAAAAAATCCTCCTATGATGCAAAATGATGATTTTTGTGTCATCGGAGGATTTTTTTCCAGACAAAAAAAAATACATAAATCTCTCTTTCTCAGGGGGATATGAGGGTGGAAAGCATGGTAATTCGAAAATACTACAGGTTTTCTACTAATACAAAGCTTAATGCTAAATCCTGAAGTATCCCATCAAATAAGAGTTAAGCTCAATCGACAGAATTTGTGTCATAATGTTGATTAGTCTGTGTTCAGACTTCCAACTAATTGTGTGTATACTATATAAACGGACTGTCGTGCGTATTGTTTTTTCTTCTTCTTCCAATTAGTCTACTATGTTAAAACAAAAAAAACCCCGACAAAAACATGTTACATGTTCAATTAATAAACAGTTTGTTTGACGACAAATCGCTAAAGATGAAATTGGCCTCCCTTTCTGTCATTGTTTTTTTTTTTTTTTAACGATATTCAACTTTTGCTCCTCGATAGAAATGCACATCACTACGCGAGGCGAACTATTCTCAAAGACTTACTTTTAGTCATTATTTGGGTAGCACACATATTCTGAATGCCTTCGGGAGAATTCAAATGAGCCATTTTAATCTAGATTAATCTAGATTCATTTCAAGATTAATCTAGATTAAAAAAATCTACTAGTGTATAGTAAAACCTTTGATGAGATTTGGTTGGTATTGTAAATTTACATGTCAATCCATTTTGTCCTGAAACCTTTCCTGTGCAATGGATGATGTTTCAGGCTGGACGTGTCGTGATGACTGCAGATATCAGTGTATGTGGACCACCGTGGGTCTGTACCAGGCCGAGGGATACAGTGTACCACAGTTTCACGGGAAGGTCAGTGTCAGAATGTTAACCAATGAGAAAGGAGACCGATTTTAATGATCATCATCATTATGAGCCTTTAAAAGAAATCTGTCCATTTTACCTTTTTTCCTATTTGTGTCTTTGTCTAGTGGCCATTTGCCCGTTTCCTGTGTTTCGAGGAGCCTGCATCTGCGCTGGCGTCTCTGCTCAACGGTCTGGCGTGTCTGCTGATGCTGCTGAGATACCGAAGCGCCGTCCCGCGTCAGAGCCCCATGTACCACACCATCACCGCCTTCTCACTGGTGAGACAGTGTCTGCACTAGTACCCGGCACCAGTTCTTTTTCATAACTAGTTTAATTTTTTCCCAAATATGCTGCCATTAATTCAATTAATGATGACAGAATTTCTGCATTCTTGTTCTCTTTCCTGCGCTATTCAGTGTAATGGAATAGAAATAGTGGGTGGTGCGTTGGGCTGCACTATAAATTAGAGCACGACCGATAAAGGATTTTGAAGGCCGATACCAATACAAATATTTTTTGGTTTCAAAATCCGATATTCCGCTATATCGGCCGATATATTGTATTTTTGAAATATTAATTTATCGGCAATTATAACTGCCGATACCGATAGTTTGGAAAATGCCTAATATCGGCCTGGCTCTACTGATTATATGCAAAAACCAACATAAACAACTATTGTAATTGGATTTCTATGAGCTGGTTCAATTAACGGTAATGAGAAACGTCCAAATGATTCAAAAATAATTTTTAAACTCATAAGATATTAGTTTGAAATAGTCTGATGACTCACTAAATTGGTAGAAATTGGTGTCGACTTACACACTGGTCCATAAGACATTACTTTTGAATTGTTACTGTGTTATGTTGTACTTAAAGTCCCCCCTGTGGTGAAAATCAAGCTTTTAATATTGTTTATATGTCTATGTGGTGTTTTTAATATGCTTTAAGACAAACCGTGTGCAAATTTATAAGTCACACCATTGAGTATTTTCTCCTTAAAGGGTAACTAAACCCCCGGTCAGAGCCTGACTCCACCCACTGGCAATATTTGAAAAATGCTGAAAAAGTGGGCAGACCCCAGCGGAGATAGAGGGGACGAAATAGATGCTAAAACACTCTATCCTGATTGTTTTCAATACTCACAATTCCAACTCCTGACTCGCTACAGTGGTTTTGACGACACAAGATGGTTTTTATACTGCCAAGGGCGTAGCTCGCGTGGTGAGCTGAAACCTGCATACGTCACGAAGTGCGGAACATCCAATAGGAAAATTCAACTGCAGTAGCCACCGTTCAACCTGAAGAGGGCAGCACTAAGACGTTTTTACACCATATATTGTAGAAATAAAACACTTTATACACAGATCATTAACTAAAAAAAGTTGGTTTAGTGTTTAGTTACTCTTTAAAACTGAGGGGAACCAAAGACAGTCTCAAAAACATGGTTTGAAATCACTGATGTTTCTGACGTCACAAACTACCTTGTAACCAATCAGGTCGACGTGTGATCGTCAACGAGTGGATCTTTGAGCTGGTGTGAGTGAGTGGAGGCGGGGATAATTTGCATATTCATAGAACTGTGTATACTAAATGAGGCAAGGGTGTAGCGTTACATTTAAGGAATTTTAAGGCATGAAAAAATGTTTAAATGTGTAATTTTGGTGATCAAAGATTAGTTTTTTCAGAATATAATTATTGACTACAGGGGGACTTAAAGGCTTGTAACATATATTTAGGACCAATTATTCTTAACGAACAATTTTTAGTACTCAAATACTAAAAGAATAGTGTATCGCTAAAAGATTTCTTAACTGAAGGGATTTGTTGGAACAGGCGGCAAAAACTGCCGGAACCAGTATCATTAAATTCCTTTCAATTTCCATCCCTATTCTACAACTACACATTCTACACATATAAAAAAAGAGGAATCAGAAAGTCTGAAATCGCACAGAAAATGTAACATTTGACTTATTTCATTAATTAATTTTTCAATGTTTATGGTGTAAATAAGAGCTGAAAATATTAGGATTTTTTTTATTATTATTTCTAGGTCACTAATCAAATTAGCGATGTTGATCCGGTGACTGTGATCATGTTGTACAGATGGTCAGATCCTCTTTGGGACATTCTGAAATCATGCTGGGTCACATGATCATGTCATCTCCAGTGCTGCGGTCTAATACTAAGACATTCTGAAATTTCATTTTCAGTTCATATTGTGATAAAACACACTTTTTCTTCAAGTGAAACTGGACCCCACTGTAAATGTAAGTGTTGCTCAGCCATGTTTGTGTCTCTGTGTAGATTTCGCTGAATGCATGGTTCTGGTCTACAGTGTTCCACACGAGAGACACCTATCTAACAGAGGTAACCTTTCAAAAATGATTCAAAGACAAATTCCAAACATTTGCTTGCATTGTGGGATTTTTGGATGCATTTGTCCAAAGCATTGATTGAGATTTTCTGTCTTTTTTTTTAACAGAAGATGGACTACTTCTGTGCATCAGCTGTCATTCTCTACTCTATCTACTTGTGCTGCGTCAGGTGTGTGAACAGGAAATGCTCATAAACGGTCGATTGACAATATGTAGTGCTGTTGTTTAGGATGGTGATTTGAGGATTAATGTTTGTGTTTCAGGACGCTGGGCTTGCGTAGACCTGCAATTTCCAGTATGGTGGGAGTTCTGCTCATTCTGGCCTTCACGTCTCATGTGTCATATCTGACCTTCGTCAGTTTTGATTATGGGTACAACATGGCTGCCAATGCCACCATAGGTAAGGTGTTGTGAATACCACAGTGAGTGCGTTTACATGCATGATTTTACAGTGATTATGATATGCTGATAACATCTAAGGTCATGGAAAATGTTTTTTGATTAAATATATTTTTTGGGGGGAAAGGTCATGAATGGACTCTGTTTACTTAAAGTGCCCCATTATGCTTTTGCGGATATTACCTTTCGTCTAGTGTGTAGTATAGCTGTTTGTGAATGTAAAAGGTCTGAAAAGCTTCAAAGATCAAAGTGCACGATAAATGGAGTTATTTTCTCCCAAAAGAAAGAACCGATGCCAAAGAATGGTCAGTAATTCCATTCTTACATGCACAGTAAGCAGTAGACCAATCACAAGAGACTGGGCCATCTGACCAATGAGAGCAGAGTAGGCTCTTGCAAAGGAGGGGTTATCGAACCATCAAACCATTTTAGACAGTAAAATAAAAGGTGATGTGAATTCAAGTGTTTGTTTTTTTTACCTTGGATGCATGTAAACCTATTGTAGGAGACCTCCAAAACAAAATTAGGAACCTTTAAAATAGCATAGTAGAGCTACTTTAATAAATTATCTTAATAAATATTTATGGTCTTATTGTGAATGATTCATCAGTGTTTACATCATTCCAAATAAAAAATCAGGGTAGTTTTCCACAATCCACTGCAATCAAAGGTGGTTTATCAACCTATCAATTCCCACTGAATAAAATCATCATGAATTAAATCGAGTCATGACCTATATTTTAAAATTTTAAAATGCAGTTTCATATTGAATTTAATCAAAGCTCAGCTTTATAAATGAAGGTGACTTAAACATAATACCTGAGCCTGAGGCACTCACCTGTTCCTGTTCTTACTTCCATTTTTATTTTTTATTTATTTATTATTATTACTATTTTTATTTAATTTTGTTTTTTATTGATTTTCTTTTTCGTTTTGGAGAAAAATGATGATGTAGGACAAGGACAAAGATGTTGTATAATATGACCAAATGTGTATTTATGTCTTTCAACGTCAATAAAAAATAAATAAATAAATAAATGAAGGTGACTTGACTTGACTCAGTCAATTTATTGAACAGTGTAATATTTGCATGTACATGTTTGGTCAGCTTTGCAACATGTTTTAAATATATCTATCATTTCAAAACCTCATGTAAACATGTACAGGTTTTTTTCATTGTTATTTTGATATTTACATGCAAACTTTAAAAATAGTTTTTTACAGGGTGCTTATTTTGGATAATTTTTAAGCATTTCAGTATAACAGTTACAGTTATATTACAGTATACACTCACTTAAAGGATTATTAGAAACACCTGTTCAATTTCTCATTAATGCAATTATCTAATCAACCAATCACATGGCAGTTGCTTCAATACATTTAGGGGTGTGGTCCTGGTCAAGGCAATCTCCTGAACTCCAAACTGAATGTCAGAATGGGAAAGAAAGGGGATTTAAGCAATTTTGAGCGTGACATGGTTGTTGGTGTCAGACGGGCCGGTCTGAGTATTTCACAATCTGCTCAGTTACTGGGATTTTCACACACAACCATTTCTAGGGTTTACAAAGAATGGTGTGAAAAGGGAAAAACATCGAGTATGCGGCAGTCCTGTGGGCGAAAATGCCTTGTTGATGCTAGAGGTCAGAGGAGAATGGGCCGACTGATTCAAGCTGATAGAAGAGCAACTTTGACTGAAATAACCACTCGTTACAACCGAGGTATGCAGCAAAGCATTTGTGAAGCCACAACACACACAACCTTAGGGCGGATGGGCTACAACAGCAGAAGACCCCACCGGGTACAACTCATCTCCACTATAAATAGGAAAAAGAGGCGACAATTTGCAAGAGCTCACCAACATTGGACAGTTGAATACTGGAAAAATGTTGCCTGGTCTGATGAGTCTCGATTTCAGTTGAGACATTCAGATGGTAGGGTCAGAATTTGGCGTAAACAGAATGAGAACATGGATCCATCATGCTTTGTTACCACTGTGCAGGCTGGTGGTGGGGGTGTAATGGTGTGGGGGATGTTTTCTTGGCACACTTTAGGCCCCTTAGTGCCAGTTGGGCATCGTTTAAATGCCACGGCCTACCTGAGCATTGTTTCTGACCATGTCCATCCCTTTATGGCCACCATGTCCCCATCCTCTGATGGCGACTTCCAGCAGGATAATGCACCATGTCACAAAGCTCAAATCATTTCAAATTGGTTTCTTGAACATGACAATGAGTTCACTGTACTAAAATGGTCACCAGATCTCAACCCAATAGAGCATCTTTGGGATGTGGTGGAACAGGAGCTTCGTGCCCTGGATGTGCATCCCACAAATCTCCATCAACTGCAAGATGCTATCCTATCAATATGGGCCAACATTTCTAAAGAATGCTTTCAGCACCTTGTTGAATCAATGCCACGTAGAATTTAGGCAGTTCTGAAGGCGAAAGGAATCAAACACACTAATAGTATGGTGTTCCTAATAATCCTTTAGGTGAGTGTAGTTATTTTCTGGAAATGTAACTGAAATATGTTTATGTATAACATAATAATGCCTATTTTGATAATCCAGTTAGATTCTGGACAACTAATTTCATTTGATTTATATTATTTGTTTTATTTGGAGCCTGATGGATGGATGCAAAGCTTTACATTATGTAATACTTTAAAACAAGATTCAAACAGTAATATGGCGGGATACAGTTGGTAATAGCTTCTGACCCATGTGTCTTTCCCTCTGATCTTGTGCTTCTGTCACTCACAGGCATGATAAACCTGTTTTGGTGGCTGTGCTGGTGTTGGCTGAACCGGAGGATTTTGCCGTACTGGTGGAAGTGTGGTGTGGTGGTGCTTTTACTGCATGGCCTTGCCCTCCTGGAGCTGCTGGATTTCCCTCCACTCTTCTGGGTTCTAGACGCTCATGCCGTCTGGCACCTCAGCACCGTGCCCGTCCACTTCCTCTTCTACAGGTACACATGCACGGCTTGTTTCACATCATGTCTGCAGGATGTTCTGAAGTTGAGGTTGTTATCTCAAAAAAATGAGATAGATGAAAGGTCTTTCCAAAATATAATTTCCAATGCAGTCATTTTTCAGCGCGAACAATACTTTTTTCAGGACCATTTAACCTTTTCGAATCATGTCCATGATTTTATTTTATTTATTTTTTTCACACAGCAAGTGCCAAAACCTTTACAAAGTTTCTTTCCATTAAGTTATTATTCTAAAATAAAATTTTTGGGATATCACAATAAATAAAAAAAATGCTGGATGGAAATGCCAAGTTGCGCATACATTTTTCAAGATGCACATAAAACACTTGTGCACCTTAATTGAGTCGGATCCTTTTTATCCAATAAGACGATATGCGCATGAACTACAATGGACACACATTAACAGAATAAATCCCTTCAATGCGTAACTTTGCCTCAACAGAGGATGTGATTGAATAACTGGACTAACCGGTGGATCAGTTTCATTGCACAGCATCTCAAATGTTGCCATAGTCTGTCATCAAAATGATTTGGGATTATGACCTCCCAGAACTGTCCCATATGATTGTTTAAAAAAAAATGTTGTGCCAATTTTCCAGGAAACGATGATTTTGTTCTCTTGAACACATGGGATGGAAATGGTGCTTTATTCGCTTTGGATGGAAACGTATTTACTGAAAAAAATTGGTTTAGGATTTACTTTGAAACAGTTTTTACTTGCTTGTAAAATTTACTTACAAATGTCAAATAAGTCTGAAAGCTTTTTTTCCGCCACTGAATAAAAAATAAAAAGGGCAACTTTTTATATCACAATTCTGACTTCTGAATTATAACATGCTATTCTGAGAAAAAAAAGTCAGTCTTATCTTTATTTTATATCTCACAATTATGAGTTTTAAAATCAGAATTTTTAGATATACAGTCAGTATTGAGAGATATAAACTCACAATTGAGAGAAAAAAGTCAAAATGAGTTTATATCACGCTATTCTGATTTTATAACTCGCCATTCTGAGTTTATATCTCGCAATTCTTAGTTTATATCTCGCAATTCTGACTTTATATCACACAATTCTGACTTTATATCTCGCAATTCTGAGTTTATATCACGCTATTCTGACTTTATAACTCATCATTCTGAGTTTATATCTCGCTATTCTGACTTATAACTATCTATTCTTAGTTAATATCTTGCAATTTTCTGAGTTTATATCTCGCAATTCTGAGTTTATATCTCGCTATTCTGACTTATAACTATCAATTCTGAGTTTATATCTCGCCATTCTGAGTTTATATCTCACAATTCTGAGTTTATATCTCGCAATTTTGACTTTATAACTCTCCATTCTGAGTTTATATCTCACAATTCTGAGTTTATATCTCGCAATTTTGACTTTATAACTCTCCATTCTGAGTTTATATCTCACAATTCTGAGTTTATATCTCGCAATTTTGACTTTATAACTCTCCATTCTGAGTTTATATCTCGCAATTTTGACTTTATAACTCTCCATTCTGAGTTTATATCTCACAATTCTGAGTTTATATCTCACAATTATGAGTTTATATCACGCTATTCTGACTTATAACTATCAATTCTGAGTTTATCACGCAATTCTGAGTTTATATCTCGCTATTCTGACTTTATAACTCCTCATTCTGAGTTTATATCACATAATTCTGACTTTATAATTCGCCATTCTGAGTTTATATCACATAATTCTGACTTTATAACTCGCAATTCTGAGTTTATATCATATAATTCTGACTTTATAACTCGCAATTCTGAGTTTATATCACACAATTCTGACTTTATAACTCGCAATTCTGAGTTTATATCATATAATTCTGACTTTATAACTCGCAATTCTGAGTTTATATCACATAATTCTGACTTTATAACTCGCAATTCTGAGTTTATATCATATAATTCTGACTTTATAACTCGCAATTCTGAGTTTATATCACATAATTCTGACTTTATAACTCGCAATTCTGAGTTTATATCACTCTATTCGGACTTATAACTCACCATTCTGAGTTTATAACTCACAATTCTGACTTTATAACTCGCAATTGCAAGAAATGAAGTCAGAATTGTGAGATAAAAAGTCGCAATTATCTTTTAAATTGTTTTATTTTGTGGCAGAAACAAGCGTCCATGAAGAAATGCCATGTACCGCATTGAATTAAACATACCACATTGAATTCTCCTATAATCTTTGTTATATTTACAACTTTGAAAATCTTTTTTTTTACAGTGTATGTTTTCCTTGTTTTTTTTCTTTCGTTCTCGTAGTTTTCTCATTGACGACAGCCTTCACCTCCTCAACACAGAGAAGCCTGGAGTGAAACTGGACTAGGAGCAAACAGTCTCAGAACCCCAACCCCTCCTCTGATATCCTTCCCATCAGGGCAAGTGCGAGCCGGACCGAGCCAGGCCTCAACCGCAGTGGCTTCCGGCACGCGTCCTGGGGCTGAAGTTTCCAATTCGAATGTTTTTCTTGTGTTTACACTTTCTTTTTACCATAACTTTTTTTATTTGTTTGCATTGGACCGAAAGGGTTGCCGTTTAGTCAGATTTTAAAGATGTGCCACAGTACTGTAGTTGAAACCTGACTGATGTTTGCATTCACTAAGCTTTGCCTTCAATTAAGAAGTGAATCAGCCTTTCTACGCCACTTTATCAACACAGCATTCTTTAAAAAAGGTGCACTGATTAGTAACTGATAAATATCTTCACATAAGTTATTCATATCTCCCATTCATATCCGTCTACATTTGTGTTGCGTGATTTAATGACCCTGCAGTGTGTGTGTATATATATATATATATTTCAGAGATATACAGAGGCAGACTGAGTTTTACTTTGAAACATCCGTTCACTATAAGTGTGGTGAACATCAGTACTCAGAAGGGGTTATGAGTGAGCAGTGTGCTCTGTTTCTGAGACGCGGGACGGTTAAATCGCTATGGTGCAATACCATGAGCTACCAGCAGATAGCGCAAGGCTGATTAGTTTCCACACTGCGGGAACTTTCCCAGCATAGACTTGTGATGGATTGGACGGTTTGTTCAAAATACCCATTTTTTCTGTAGTAATCAATCACTCACTAAAATCACTAGATTTTTAACGGATAGTCCACACACACGTTAAAATACCGTTGATGTTTATTCATGATGAATTTCAGTGGAACACATAAGGAGAAGTTTAGCAGAATGGTTGTACAATAAAAGTGAAAGGTGACCAGGGACCGCTTCAAAAATGAAAAAAAAAAACAGCATTTAAAGTATCTAAAATAGTATGAATCGACTCTTTATGTGAGTAACAGACCAAATTTAGGTCATTATTGCTGTGAATCACTAACTATCATGATATGCGAAGTATTGTGATACTGATAGTGTTATGATGGTGATTTCTTTGCCCATTTTGGAGGTTGCTGGTCACAGTATGCTTCTTTTTAATGGAAAACAGCAGCGCAAGAACATTCTACTAAACGTCTCCTTTTATGTTCTATGGAGGAAAGTTTTGAGTAGTACAAATCACTTTAAGGAGAGTGTCTAATATCACCACCACAGAGCTACTCGTTGCCTGAATATAAAATACTGACTTTATGGCAGGAAGATTTAAAGAGTGACATGATATGAGATAGCAAATTACTTTTACTTTTAATATATTATTATGTTGTTTTTTTCTCGATGTTGCTGCTTTATCTTTGTTTTTCATTTCCTTATAGTTTTTATATATTTATAATTGTTTTTTGTTGTTGATTTTTGAGTGACTTTCATTTATTTTCACCAAGAATGCCTTTGCAAAGAAAATATTACTTAGAATTGGTTTTCAACAGAAGGTAATGGAAAAGGGATGAAGAAGGATTTGGGTGCGTGTGTGTGTTTGTGTGTGTAGTTGCTGTGCAATTTGAGCTTGTAGTGCATTACATTTACACACATTTATTACTATAGCAACCTAATGGCCACCACAGCTGATATCCTTACATTATTAAGCTCTTTCTTTCAGAACACTTGTCATACTATGCCTTACATTTTTATCTTTTTATGCCTCACACAAGGCAGCACTTCTCCACAAATCTCTCACCATTCACCATACTCTTACTCGCTTGTGCCAGACTATTTCTCTATTTCTTGGATCATCTTAAAACGAATTTGCACAGATTCTTGTGTAATTTGTAACTGGAGCCAAAACCACATTTGATTGCCTGACATGTCTTTGTTCCAAATCGTCACTTGTGCACTTTGTGTGTGTGTGTGTGTATGTTTCTCTGTCCCGGTGGGGACTTCAACCTGAATGCACGCAGACTCATGGGGACTTGTCACCGTGGGGACCTAAATTGGGGTCCCCATAACGAAACAAGCTTATAAATCATACAGAATTAGTTTTTTTGAAAATGTAAAACTGCAGAAGGTTTTCTGTGATGGTAGGTTTAGTGAAAGGGGACAGAATATACAGTCTGTACAGTATAAAAAACCATTACAATTATGGAGAGTACAAACCAGACGTGCGTGCGTGTGTGTGTCAGAACAAGAGTGCAAGCATGATCGGCCTGGAGGGTAAATATAGCCGTTTAGAAAGGCTAAAAGTGGTATAGAGGGGGAGGGGACAACAAGGGTATCCAGAACAGTGATGGTGGGACCGCTGATCAGACTCGACCATCACATCTGAGAGTGTTGCTGCTACAGTATTTCTGAGGGAGTTTTACCACTATCTACTACTTTTTAAGTTGCAAAGAAGGTCCAGTTGGACATTTGGGTTAAACATTACTAGGTCAAAAAAATGTATTTAAAAAAAGAAATTCCAGGTACAACTTAAGCTTTATAACCAGCATCACATTTTTTTTTTTTTTTTTTTCAAAATGTGTTTGTATGATGGAAATATTGATGGAAATCAATTATACTCAGTGGGTTTCTATATAGAACCCTATGGGGTTTTTAAAGAACTGAATTCAATGCCAAACATGTCCTATAAGGATAAATGTCTTAAATGATTGCATACTTTCATGTTTAGCAGGCTATTTCATAGTTTTCCTTTTTCTAGTGATAAAGTATGTTTACGAGTTGTTTAAGTCATAACATTTTATTAAAATTCAAAATTATTGAAAACAAAATTAATGAAATCTAAATCCATAAAACGATCCCATGATGGGAACCCCGAAAATAATTTTTTCTTCTTAAAGTGTATTATGGAGGCGTATTGCATTCACTTGAAGAAAAAAGTTTTTGCTCTGTTTTTCTGAATTAATGAGTTAATTTTTCATGAGAAAAAAAGTTTTTGCTCTGTTTTTCTGAATTAATGAGTTAATTTTTCATGAGAAAAAATTTTTTGCTCTGTTTTTCTGAATTAACGAGTTGATTTTTCATGAGAAAAAAAATTTTTGCTCTGTTTTTCTGAATTAATAAGTTAATTTTTCATGAGAAAAATTTTTTTCTCTGTTTTTCTGAATTAATGAGTTAGTTTTTCTTGAGAAAAAAAGTTTTTGCTCTGTTTTCTGAATTAATGAGTTAATTTTTCATGAGAAAATTTATTTTTGCTGTTTTTCTGAATTAACTCATTAATTCAGAAAAACAGAGCAAAAAAAAAAAATCCATTAAAAATTAACTCATTAATTCAGAAAAACAGAGCAAAAAAAATGTCTCTCATGAAAAATTAACTCGTTAATTCAGAAAAAACAGAGCAAAAAAAATTTTTCTCATGAAAAATTAACTCATTAATTCAGAAAAACAGAGCAAAAAAATTTTTTCTCATAAAAAATTAACTCGTTAATTCAGAAAAACAGAGCAAATTTTTTTTTCTCATGAAAAATTAACTCGTTAATTCAGAAAAACAGAGCAATTTTTTTTTTCTCATGAAAAATTAACTCGTTAATTCGGAAAAACAGAGTAGATTTTTTTTCTTCAAGTGAATGCAATACGCCTCCGTACAGTAGAACCATCTAACTCAACACACCTTTTTTTTTCTTTATTACATTCAAAGTTCAAATCATTTTCTGTGGTGATTGACAGCACATCACACAGATGATCCTGGAAAGTTAAAGCTAGATAATTGTTTATAGACACAAGCGATACTAACATTATATAATATTTTTTCAGCTTCCATTAAAACATGTTTCATATTTTGTTCTCTATATTTCTTAAGCAGAACGGTGGTAGTAGTATGTTATATTTTCTGCAAATTCAACATGAAATGTACCATTCGGTATGCTGTACTTTTAAAATAACCTGCATGCGGAGCGTAAACGTGATCTTTTTCACATTAAAGAAAGTAAAAAGAAAGGGAATGAGATGTACTGTATGGCCAGATTGGTAATTGGTTGCCTTCTGAAAAGCGTTTAGTTGTATACATTTTTGACACTGTTGACTGTAATGCAACATAAGGCCAAACATGAGAGGTGTCTTCTGGGTATTCTAATTGTTAATTCCCTCTTTTTCATTGGCCTGTTTGATTGTGGCCATCTATAAGCTCAACATGGACTTGCCCTGTATATCTCCCCACCTTCACTTTCTCTTCTCACTCTTTCTGTCCCTTTCTATTGCTCTCTTTCTTTATCTTGGTATTGTAATGCACCTTTCTTCACCAATTACACAAGCCCGAATGTGTATAAAGGAACCTTGAGGAAATTAATAAAATCGTTCTGTATTAATTATTTTACTGGTACTATGTTTATTTCAGTAATACCGTGAGAGGTTGTGCTGCATTGTAACTAGTCACAATAAACCATAAGTGCCTTATTGCTTTTATGAAATGTTTACTACATGATAAAAATTATAAAAAAGGAAAACATGACAAAACATTTTTCATAGCAAATTCAAATAATGTGTAAACTAAGGATAGTGGTTGGTAACAATGTTGGTAAATAGATGTTTCATGACAATATTATGTATTTTATCATGACTCAAAGACGGTTTATCCCCATTCAGGACTGGAATTTTCAATCCAACATGTCAGAATTACTATTCACTGTGAGAATCACTATCTCTTCCTTTCTATAGCAGTCCAAAGGCTTAAATTTCAGATCGTACTAAGGCAACACGGATACTGACAGTATACTCACTGTAAAAAAAATAGTTTTTAATTTTACGGGAAAAAATACTGGGTAATACTTTATTTCGATGGTCCACTTTAGATATTGTAATTATAAGTAACTAGTTATGCTAGTAATGTCAACTAGCAAAGTATTTGTAGATTGTCTGCTAACACTTGATGCTCCGCAACAAACTTTCTATAGACTTATCTTTGCAACTACATGTCCACTTATTTTACTAATTCTAACCCTCTAACAGTCAGCTAACAGTTTTCTACAGTCGACTAAGTTCATATAGTTGTAAAGTTACTTGTCTACAGCGGGCCATCGGAAAAAACAAATACTACTGTAAAACCCAACAAGTTAAGCTAACTCATTTCATTTGAGGAAACCGATTGCCTCAATTAAATTAAGTTTTTAAAAACAATAGTTATGAGTACTTTGATTTTAATCGAGTCCGCTAATGGATGGTAGAATGGTAGAACTCTGAACTGGTCTTGAAACGCAGAATCTTCTTGTGATGCATAGCAATCAGAACATGGAAATATGCGTCCGTCAGATCGTCACTTATTTACCAATCTCTTTCTGCCACTGCATGAGCGAAGAACATCGGCCACATGCAACATGCGGAACGGGAGCTTCTTTACCCGTTGATTTTCCTCAAATTTAAATTTGCTTTGGAACCAGAAAATTTGTTGAGTAAAAACTCTCCCTCTGAACTAAGGGGTAAACCTCATCTATTGCTCCTCTACGAAACGTGGTTTGTACAGGCGTGTAACAGTGATGAGCAGGTGCTGTTGGCAGGTGCTGTTGCCATATTGCGCCAGCCCAGAACATCCAGCTCACACCTGAATATTGGTGGAGAGGAGACATGAAGCCAATGAGTACACTCTAAAAAATGCTGCTAAATAGAACTAAAAGTGGTTCATTGGCTTGTAATCATAGGGGAACCACTTTAAGTGCCTTAACTTTGTCATATGGTGCTATGTAGAGCCATAAGAGGTGCCATAGAGCACGATAACCACACCAGAGAACCACTGAAGAACCAAACTGGGCTTAACTGGTTCTTTAAATGGCAGTGGTGCTATATAGCACCATGACCACCGCAAAGAACCGCTGAAGAACCTTTTTTTTTTTTGAGTGTATATATGGGGGTGATTAGGAGGCCATAATGGACAATGGGCAAATCTGGCCAGGATGGGATTTCTAATGACCACAGAGAGTCAGGGCCTCGGTTTAACGTCTCATCCGAAGGACAGTTCTTCTGTCCCCATCACTATATGGGGCGTTAGGACCCACACCACAGAATGAGCAGCCCCTGCTGGCCTCACTAACACCTCTTTCAACAGACACCTAGTTTCCCCAGGAGGTCTCCCTTCCAGGTACTAACCAGGCTTAGCCCTGCTTAGCTTCATTGGACAATTAGTTTTGGGCTACAGGGCTACATGGCCACTGGCTAATAATTTAAGACCGTCTCTGGCGGTCTGGAGGAATGAAACATAAATCAGGAAATCTGATTCTTAATGTGACTTCCTGTTGCACTACCTGTATTACCTGGTTATCAGTATGTTTTAAAGGGACAATATATAGAATTCCAGCCCGTTCTCATCCCATGCCAAAGCCTAGATATCCAACGCACATGCCACCCTTTAACGTCAATATGAGACACAGATATATGGGGTAGAAGGCGCCTCCTAGTGGTCTAACCCTAACCCTACCCCAGACCTAAACCTACCATACTCTGCGCGTGTTATATTGACACTTAAGGGTGCCGTGTGTTGGATGTCTACGCTTTGGCAAAAGCGTCGTATATGACGCCTTGGGATGAGAATGCGTTGAGAATTCAGAAACTATTGTAATTAGTGACACCGGTGGCCGTTATGTGAATGGCAGCCAGCAACCTATTGCTCGTGGAAATAGCTAAGAAGAGACTGAACATCATGGTCCTGAATCCTGATATACACACGGGCAATTCTTTTTTGTTCTTTGCTTAGAAGTAAAAAGAAATTGGAAATACCTTTGCAGCAATAAAGTGTTAACGAACATCCAGATGACGTCCATGCTGCTGAAAGCAATGTGCACGAGCTCTGCAATTTACCGGCATCATGTCAACAGAGAAGGTAGGCTAATTAGATTATACTGTTATTTTATATTGTCAGACAGATTTGACTATGTGAGACTTGCATGACACATTACAGTACAGAATAGCTCTTTAGGCATTATCCTGACCTGCACATTGTATAAGCATTAGTTTTATGTGTCACAGAACGGAAGTGAGTCTTTTTTTATTTTTTCCGGAAAAAAATGGTTCTTCCAACCCGATCTCACGGGAATTCGTACGAATTTTACGAGGTGGCTAATTCGTAATAATTCATACGACCTCACTCGTACAAATTAGTACGATTTTGCTAAAATGTACATATTTTACGAATTGGCCAATTCGTATGAATTTGTACGAATGACCTACCCCCGACCCCGCCCCTAAACCTAACCATCACGTGGGTTTAGACAAATCGTACGAGTGAGGTCGTACGAATTAGTACGAATTAGCCACTTTTTAATCACTCGTACGAATTTGTACGAATTGGTCGTGGGTCCTTTACATAAAAATCATGCTTTCATGGACCATCAAGGAACTCTAAGGTCTCGTTTTTAAGTTTACAAGCTGTTCACACATTGGCAATAAAAAAGTGATTAACACAGGAAAATTCATATATAGCCCCTATGGTAAAAAAACAAA